GGAAGCAAAAGACCTTTAGTTGGGATCAGTCCACAGAAGAGCTGCTGCAAACCTGGCTTGGCCTGGGCACTGGACTCTGCCAAGCTGGGACCTGTACCCCCTCCACAATGACCTGTCCCTGCCCACAAACACTGTCCCTGCAGGAACACAGAATTAACTGCTCCAAGACTGCTGTCTGAGGGGACATGAAGGGCTCATCTGTGTTCTGGAACAGGCAAATCCCAGGGAGGAAAGGTCCCTGGGCCTCAGCGCTGCTCCCTGGAATGGGAACAGCAGCAGAGCAAGCACCGGGCTGCAGGAAAGCTTCCCCTCTGCCATGCTATAGAGCTGCATTTTCACTCCCCCCTCCTTCCCTGCCTCAGCCTCTCCCTCCCCACCAGCATTTTACCTTGGAGACACTGCAGCAGCAGGGGGATCTCTGCAGCCCACATGGCCCCCACAGCTCTGTGGAACCTCCTGTGCAGGTTTTGCATCAGTAGTAAGGCAGCGGCTTGGAGTTCGCTGCCTGCAACAGGACTCCCTGCCACCACCTGAGCAAGAGCAAGGAGAAGCAGAGTCACTTCTGCAGCAAGAGCAGAGGGAAGCTGGCAGGCAAGGAGCAGGCAACAGCTTTGCCCATAGCCATGTTGCTTCCTCCTGGGGGCTCGTGGCATTGGCCTCTGCAGCACCAACTCACCAACAGACGTGCCAGCAGTGTCTGGGGAGTCAGCAGTGGGCCTGCGAGGAGAAAGAAGTGCTGAGTAAGACTCCAAGACACTCCATGCCCTGCCACGCTCAGCTCCGCTGTCCCTTCTGGGTGCTAACACAAGTCAGCAGAGCTCACTGGGGGAGTTTCTGCTCCTACCTTGAAACACGGAGCTGACAAAATGAGGATCTAGATCTGCTATCTGCCGTGCTGTCAGGTCCTCTCTCTCAGCCAGCGCTTGGATGCAACGGGAGACTGGAATCAGCATGCCCGTGTACTGGGCTGGCACCACAAACAGCAGCAGCCGCGGCCACAGGAGCTGTAGGGAATGAGGCAGTTGAGCATGTCAGCATTCCTGCTTCTGCTCAAAGATGAAGAAGACTCTGTGAGTTTCCCTAAGTCTTGTGTGCTTCAGAGCACGTTGGAAGAGAGACCTGGGGTGTTGGAATGGGATGAGGAACACGTGATGCGAAGTCAAGGAGCAGCAGGGGGCAAAGTGTGACTTACTTTGGACATCCCTCTCACAGAGAGATCCAGAGACTCCAGGATGTCCATGCACAGCTCCTGGAGAGCTCCTTCTTCCTTGGCTTCCTGGGCAGAAAGGTCTCCAGCTGCCTGCACAACAGTGGTGTTGAAACAGTTACTCTCAGTTCTCAGGAGCCTCTCAGGAGACTCAGGTGTGGCCCCACGGGTGTTTCTGTGCCAGCAGCATGGGTCTTCCAAAAGAAGATGCTGCCTACTGTCCTTACCCTTCTTCCTGTGGCACGGCTGAACTCATTGAAGATGTGCCCCACCACATCCCAAGCTGAGCAGCTCCGGGGGTCAGCACTGAGCAGATCCTTGATGAAATACAGAACAGCTCTCCTCACCTGCAGGGGTCAATTGTGGGTGTGATTTTCCTGGTCAGAAGGCAAAGGGAAGCCACCTGCTCATTGGGGCAGCCCTTTGGGCATGAGCAGAGACAACAAGAGCAGAGGTCCATGCACAGCACAGGGACCCATCCTCTCCTCTCTGCCTGCTCTTCCCACAGGAGCCATAGTGACCATGTGGTCAATGCCCCAGCAATCTCCCTGGTCATCCCAGCCCTGCCCATGTTGGCAGCAGCATCACCACCCCAACAGCGCTTTCCTTTCCCAAAAGAGCTCACCCGGGTCCTGGGGTCATTGCACACACACCGCACAGCCTCTGCAACCTGGGGCATCATCTCTGTCATCACAGGCTCTGCAAGAGATGCACAAAAACATGCGTGGAGGCACAACCCAGATGGCAAAAGGGATCCCTGGAAGTCCCAACCCGAGGTACTTACCATCAGAGCGAACCAGAGCACTGAGCAGACCCAGGGCTGCCACACATCCAGCCTCCCACTCATCGCCCAGCTGTGACTGCAGAAACAGGAACGTTTCCTCTGGGCAGATTCGGGCTGCAGGAAGGAAACCCCACACTATGTTAGCATGCAACTCATGTCCATTTGTGAGGTTTGAGAGAGAGGTTTTGGCCAGGGCTCCAGCAAGCATCACTAAAGCTCCTCTCCTTACCCTGCAGCAGTATGCAGTGGGTCAGCTCTCTGCTATCAGCCTCGCTGTGCTGCTTGGTGTCATCAGAGAGCTGTGGGAACAAAGTCCAATTGAGAAAATCACATCAGAACTGAGGATGGAAAAGACACTGGAGCAGCCTCGGGCAAGAAAGAGCTAAGGCTGAGCAGCCATCAGAGGCTCGGAGTTTCACAGTCCTCCTGAGATTTAGCCAAGGGGGAAACAGCTGTAGGTGCAAGGATAGGCTCCTCTTACCTGGTAGAACACGGCACTGGTGATGTCCAGAAACTTGTCCTTCGGAATGACAGACTCAACTCCCTCTAAGGCTTCCAGGAAGATAGTGAGGCTCTGCAAGAGACCAGGAGAGCCACATCTAGCCACTTGGGAGCGGAGAAACTGTTTCCCAGTGGTTTGTCTGCTGGGAGAAGTTCCTGCACAGGTGTTCTTGTTTGTGCCCCCTCCCAGCAGCACCAAGAGAGTCTCTATGCTCTCAACTGAGCCATGCTTGGGCATTGTTTGCAGGCATTTCCCACCCAGCAGCCCTCTTCTCCCCCATCAGATGCAACTGGATGTGGTCCTCCCAGTTGTTAGCACAGAACTCCTCAGGCACTCAGAGCCCCACAGTGGTGGCGATGAAGCCTTTCATCCTCAGGAAATGAGCCCCAGTGGCTCCCTCCTGGCTCCTGTCCAGGATGTTCCTTCCTTGATTGAAGAACTCAGGAAGCCTCAGACCTCCCTTGAACACCTGTTCCTTCTTTCTCCAAGTGCTCCCTGCCTCCTCTTGCATCCCCCTGACCCCTCATGGCACTTGCGTGGGCTCCACACTGAGCCTGTGCAACATCTCACCTTGGCCATCCTGCAGGTGTCCAGGACTTCCTGACATGGGTGCACGAGCCACAGGAGCTGCTCCCAGACGTGCTCTCGGTGCAGCTCCTCTTGCAGGAGGACAGCCATCATGGAAGCCACAGCCCCGAGGACGGCCTGTTTGTCCTGGAAATGGATGGCCCAGCATCAAATACTGAAGGTCTGCCCTTCCTCAGAGAGGGCTTTCTTTTCCCCTTCCCCATAGCCCCACGTCCAGAAGGAGATGGGCTCACTTTCTGTGGGC